CATGGCCATTTGCTATAGGGAGAAGGTGTTTGTCTTGCAACATAACAGCCACGTGCCTTTAGAAGTGAAATCCAGTCTTCACAGCAAAGTGACAAAATCTTGGAGGGAATAAAATACAAGCAAACCCATATATAGAGGCTTAAAGTACTCCCTAGTTACCTGGAAAAAAATAGGATCTTTTCCTGTACTTTTGGAAATTCTGATGTTTATTATTCACTAAATGAAATAATTATGTATAAGTCACAGACAAAATTTTCATCCAAAGTATGAAATCAATATAAATAGCAGGTCCACTTGCTGTCCATGCTAACCAGTGTAAGAAAGGACTTTCAGAGGTACCAAGGTTCCCACAATAGGGAATGGAAAATCCTACTCGGCTATCTTCCTGCTGTGGTCCAAACTCCCAAATGGAATGAGAGATGCTTTTCACACACCTCCTCAAGGAAAAAGGCAATTTTACCCTTAGAAAATAGGATAAAAATATTATTTAAGATAAAATGCAAGATGTCAGGAAAACCAATCCTCTTAACAATCAGATTCTCAAAATATTAATATTGGAAGAGTAGTATGAATTAGGAATTTTGTTCAAAGCTTCCATATTATTTTCTTTGTAGTGTATATTATGGTATGATTGATAGTATAATGAACATATTAGACGTTATAATTAATCTATCAAAATATTTTGCAATTTATTATTAGTATGCCAACCTATATTCAGAAGGACAACATGATTTAATCAATATTTTGGATATCAGACACATGGGAATAAATTTGTTAACACCCTGTGAGCTGGAGGGGTAACCAGAGAAATAGGTTAGTGTGAAGTCATATGTATTTTCCAGTAGGACTTTCCAAAGGAACTCTAAAAAGTTATAAGTCAAAGATGTTACTCTAAAGCAATATATGATAACGTTTTAAACAGACGTAACATATTTCCAGTTCCTGAGAAGTTACTATGCACGTATTCATTTCTTTTCTGGAAGACCAAAGTAAGCAAGCAGATTGCTCTTCCATATTGAAACAGATATTGAAAACGACAGCTCTCTTGGTTTTCATTTGTTCCAGATAAATGCAAAATACAGACTTCTTTCCAAGGCAATTTGCACAGCTTAATCTATATGAACAGAACAGATGTTAAAAAAGAAGCATCAGAGTCTAGTTGCTGCTAGCCATGATTACAGAAATCAGCATAATGTGATTATTAAAACCAAACCTTTATAATTCAGAAGAAAAAACCCAAGATTAGATTTTGCAAAATACCACTGCTCATGAACATCAGGTGTCGGAATCTGTGGTATTGATGATTCCAAGATGCAGAAAGTCTCTTTCAGCCCCACTGCCAAAGCAGAAGCCATAATTGGTCTGTGCTGTTTCAAGGTAGTTTATTCTGTTTATCTCTAACATGTTCTGCTGCCCTGCCGCAGCTCTGTCCTGCAGGGCAGCGTGTGGGGCTCTGCCCTCAGTGGGATGGTACAAACATTAAATACCACAAACTACCTGTGCTGGATTTACAATAACGTGCCAATATCTGTCACCTACGTTGGACAGTGTGTCCCCAGCCTGAACCAACAGAAAAATGCCAACACCACAGTGAAACATGGAGGGCATGAAGAAGGAGAAAAAGGACAAGGCACACCCAATTTCCTCCATCTTGTCCCCTTTGGACCCCTAATCTAGAATCCTAAAATTTTACTTTTGCACCTGTGCCACACTTAATTATTACTTATATCCAACACTCAGAGCTTGTAATTAATCCTGTAAGATTGAAAACTTTTCCATGGACAGAGATCACAGACAGTGTCTCTGGGGGCTCTGTCCAGGGGGGTTCCTGACCCCTGCCAGGGTCCCAGACCTGCCAGGGCAGCCAGAGGGAAGCCCTGGATTACCACAGGAGCAGATCTCTTTACTGGATTCTCAGAGGAAGACCCGGCCCACCTACTCCATCACCAGACCTTCAGAGAAAACTCCACCCTTCTACAGAATCACTGCTCCAGCAGCATTTCATCTGCCACTCCAGGAGGAGCAGCCACCATTTAACTGCACTATTACCAACACCCTGACTCCTCAGGGTGTCAGGTTTCTGACTCCATCACTAGTTTTGTTTGTACTAATTACATTTTTAAAAATTTTTATTTATCTTTTTCCTAGTAAAGAACTGTTATTCCCATTCCCATATCTTTGCCTTGAGAGCCTTTTAATTTTGAAATTGTGGTAATTGGGAGGGAGGGGTTTACCTTTTCCATTTCACAGGAGGCTTTTGCCTTCCTTCACAGACTCCTGTCTTTTCAAACCAAGACAATACTTGCATTTACCTTTTGCAGAGTTTGTTGCCCTGTATCTCAGGAACAAGCTCATCTAAAACTCCTACAGGTCAGATGCAACTGTGTGTGTCTCTAAACATTTTTCTGGGGCTTCTTTCACCTCAGTGCAAACCTTTGTTGAAGGAAGGAAAGAAGGAAGGCCAGGTGGGACAGCCGGGCTCCTCTGGAAGCATGTGGCACTCAGCTCATTGGCACAGGCCTTGCACATAGAAACAGATCTGGTCTCCCAATCCAGAGTTCTCCCTTTTCATTAATTCTTCTAGAGAAAGGAAATGAAGAACATCCTATGGTTTTTGTTTTTCTTTGAGAAATCTCAAAAGTTATTCAAGATTTGGCAGGTCTGTTACTTCAGATGAAAATCTTTAAACTTAGTAACAGGTTATTGCTAAAATAAAACCCCGAACCACGTCCATAATTGTATACATAGCTTTTGGGTTCTGATGCTATCAGATTTTATGGGTGTGAAATTTGCTAATTTCACGGGTATGCCAAATACTATCTTCTCCCAGAAGATTCATCATCTTGTTTAAGACAGGTAAAATGTACACGAGAGTAATTTTCCACTCCTCTGAATCTTTTTATTATTTACTTATATATACTGAGAAGACTATTGTGAAGTCTCTTCTTGTTCACAGCAGTCTAGTATTGAACATAGAGGGGAAATATCACTCATACAAGAGCACTGCATATCTCCCTTTATCCTTGTTGCAGAGAAACTCTTGAAGATTTCCAAAAGAGGATGAGTGAAGAGGATTCTTTATCTATAGCTTTGGTAGTTAGCAGCTCTGCTCTTTAATTGAAGCTGAAGTGAGCAGCTGCTCACTTCCCTGCCATTAGGCGCCGACACGTTACATTTGAAACAATAAACAGTTGTCGCTATTTGAGTTCTTGCCACCAGCACCTCCCAAAAAACACCTGTCCGCGGTACCAGCGCCCAGCGGGCGAGCCTCTGTGCGCTCAGCTTGGCTGTGCCCAGGTGCCAGCCTGTAGAAAAGCTGTAGCAGTGTTATTCCCCCCTCCGAGAAAAGGGACGGGCTCGTTTGCACGAACAGAGTGTTTGTGCCCGTCTGAAAGGGAGGAGAGCCGGGCACGGTCCGATACCTGTTGGCAGCGCCGTTCAACGCCAGCTCGGATCGAGTCCGCTCTGTTTCGGCTGCTGCGAAACGCGAACTGTGTGAACGGAGACAAATTCCAGACACGACCGAACGGCAAGGAGCCGCCAAGGAATCCCTGCCGGTGTTAAGCAGTGCCACCTCCGTGGCGCAGGCAGAGCCCAGACAAGGATGAGAACTGAACCCCTCTGTGCTGGGCACCCGCAGCTGCCCCGGGCCCCGTGCCGGAGCCGCCGGCGCCTCCCGGGCCAGCCCGGCGCGGGCGCTGCCGAGCGGGGACTGCCCGGGGCTCCCGGGGGATGCTGCTCGGGGCTCCCGGGGGATGCTGCTCGGGGCTCCCGGGGGATGCTGCTCGGGGCTCCCGGGGGATGCTGCTCGGGGCTCCCGGGGGATGCTGCCGGCGGCTCGGGGCTCCCGGGGGATGCTGCTCGGGGCTCCCGGGGATGCTGCTCCGGGCTCGGGGCTCCGGGGGATGCTGCTCGGGGCTCCCGGGGGATGCTGCTCGGGGCTCGGGGCTCCCGGGGGATGCTGCTCGGGGCTCGGGGCTCCCGGGGGATGCTGCGGCCAGCAGGGACCGGAGCCGAGCCGAGAGAAGGATGTGCTCCTCCTCGCCTTCCTCACGGAGGAGACGGAGCGTTTAGCGGCACAGCAGCTTCAGGGGGCCGCGGGCTCCTGCGTTTCTGCTGCGGGAGCCCCGGCAGCAAACCAGCGGCTGGGGCTAAGGGCCTTTCTCCCTCTCCCAAGTTTCAGCTGCGTGCATCCTCTGTTTCGTCAGCCAAAGGATGGGGAGGAAAACAACCTGTGGGACAGGGATGACTTCTGGCTAGTTATGGCTACAGATTCATCCCCATTGCAGCTTTCCAGAGCGGTATTTCTCTCAAAGTAGGAAAGGAAGCTATGAAGCCATGCCTATGTATTTACTTACTTAGGGGGTGCAAAGCTCTGTGGTGAGGGAAGGTGATAATAAATCGGGGGGATTTCCCCCCCCCCCCCCCAAGCTTCTTCCAGCCTCCTCCTCCCTCATTTACATATCTGGCTGGTGGGTGATTTTTATTCTCAGCACGAAAACGGCAGTCTATTTCAATGCATGAATGCAGCCCTGCATCTATTCACAACACAGTGAAATAGCCCAGAGACTTATTGTACTAAATAAGAAAACAAGGAGAAGAAACGGGTTCGGCAGCCTTAGAAGCAAGCCTCTGTGATCCAAAGTCCTCCTGACTCTTCAAAGGAGGGTTGTAGAACGGAGAGGAAAATAAACCTCTCCCCAAAAAACACCAACAAACGGGAAGACAAATACAATTACCACCACTTCTTCTCCCGAGAGAATAATAATGATAATTAAAAAACACTAACAAGCATCCCACATTTTCATGATCGGCAATTTGGAAACATCCGACCTAATGAGGGTCCCCAGTTCAGTCTAATACCGCACCTACGGACGAGGAAGGCGCTCGCCCAGCGCGCCTTGCACGCACACAGAGCCCAAGTCAGCCAGAAACCCACGGAGCGAGAGCCCTCTGCCAGGCAGGCAGCCACAAATTGTCTGAATAAAATGAATACTCACTCTTTCAAGGAGCAAGGGAGCCGCTCGCCCACAGCCACTTCACGCGCGGATTGAAAGGATGAGGTAAAAAAGCATCAGCCGGTCCCCGGGAACGGGCAGGGCGCTCCAGATTTTCTTCTCATGCTTTCCGAGGCTGCCGGTGCTGGCGGAGCCGCTGGTTGCTGGGCTTCCCGGCTCTCTGCGCCTGCATGCTGGCGTGCAGTTCTTAATTTCTCCCTTCGCACGAGCCAGCGGCAGCCGCCCGTCTCCAGGAAAGCAGGGATATTCCAAATAAATCCGCTAATTGCGGGCTGAGCGCGCTGCCGTGCCTGCCTGCCAAACCTAAGTGTGAAGCGATGTGGAAAAGTGAGCCGGGAGCCTCCCCTGGCAGCTCTTATTGGGCTGATCTCGGAGGCAGGTCTAGCGCTGGGAAATCGGTGGGAGCGCTTTGGGGTGGTGTTTTCCCCCTCCCTCCGCTGCCCGCCTTCCCCCGGCAGGCGCACGCACAACTTTGCGGGGCCGGCGGCGCCGCTCGCTGCCCGCGCTCCTGCCGGGCCCGGGCCGCGGCTCCGCGCCGGGGATGTCCTGCGGCCGGCCGGGAGCGCCGGAGGGAGGGACGCGGCGGGAGGGAGGGACGCGGGCAGGAGGGAGCCGAGCGGGGCCGGGCACCGGGCGGAGCCGGGGCGGGGGCGGCGGGCCCGGAGCGGGGCCGCCGGGGCTGGAAATGCCCGGAGCGCCGGCGAGGAGGAGCCCCCCTCCGCCTCCCTGCCCGTCCTTTGGGAGAGGGATGCGGGCTGGATGCGGCAGCACCCGACGGGCCGCGGGCAGCCGCTCGGCTCCGTGCGACAGCGCTGCGGGCGGGCGCCCTGGGCACAGGGAGGGCATCCTTTAAAAACGCTTTTCCCAGCACGCTTTTCCCGGGGAGCTGCGGGCGCTTCGAGGCTCTCCGCAGCCTCGGTGGCCTCGGGCGCAGCGGAGCTGCAGGGAGGCAGCAGCGCGCAGCGAGTCCTTGACCCCCGCCCCGTCCCCGCATCCTCTGTGTGAGCACAGCGCCGGCATCCCGCACAGCCCCGGCATCCCGCACAGCGCCGATCCCGCCCAGCCCCGGCATCCCGCCCAGCCCCGGCATCCCGCACAGCCCCGGCATCCCGCACAGACCAGGCATCCCGCACAGCCCCGGCATCCTGCACAGCGCCGGCATCCCGCACAGCCCCGGCATCCCGCACACCACCGGCATCCCGCACAGCGCCGGCATCCCGCACACCGCCGATCCCGCACAGCCCCGGCATCCCGCCCAGCCCCGGCATCCCGCACAGCCCCGGCATCCCGCACAGGCCCGGCATCCCGCACAGCCCCGGCATCCCGCACAGAGCCAGTATCCCGCACAGCCCCGGCATCCCGCACAGCCCTGGCATCCCGCACAGTGCCGGCATCCCGCACAGCCCCGGCATCCCGCCCAGCCCCAGCATCCCGCACAGTCCCGATCCTGCACAGCCCCGGCATCCCGCACACCCCTGGCATCCCGCACACCGCCGGCATCCCGCACACCGCCGGCATCCCGCACAGCCCCGGCATCCCGCACAGCCCCGATCCCACCCAGGCTGAAGGAAGTATTGCTCCTTTGGGCAGGCAGGGGTTACTGGTGTCATGTGCTGAGGCAGAAAGCAAGAGCAGGGAAAAGAAGTTGCACTTGGACTAGAAGCCCAGGCAGGAAGCAAATGAAACTACTGTCAAGTGGTTTTTCCAAGGGAAGCAGGGAGTAAAACAAAAGCCCTGTGAATGGCAGGAGTGTCTGGGAGCAGCATTGCTTTTCCTCTGAAGACAAACATGGGCAGAGGGCGGGTCTAGCTATGAGTCCTGGAGGAGGAAAACACAGTGTGCAAACACAGCTGTAATGATCAGAGCGATGTCCATCCAGGCAGGAAACTGTTCCCAGGGATCATTAGAATTGACAAATTGACTTTGGTCAACTTTTCTCTTACTGCTTGCTCCAGTCTCTCAGCCAGCCCTGGTGTCCCAGGGGCAGCCAGGTTTTGCAACACCCTTGGAGGCAACTCAGAGGGGGAGATTTTAGCAGAGTCTGGGAGTGTTCCCCTACCTGGACCTTTCTTTCCAGGGGAAGTGAAACTCTGCAGAGAAGCTGCCAGCTACGTCTGGTATGCATTCCCTGGCTCCAGGAGCCCTGGGCACAGATATTTAGACTAAATAGGCGGCAGCACACAAAGAAAAGAGAGCTTTTGAGGAGAGCAGAGACTAATGACAGTCCCTAATAATAAGTGACAGGAATAGGGGCCATGGGTGGGTGCCAAGCCAGTGTGGGCTGTTGGGCCTGCCAGCATGCACTGGGTGACAAGTGAATCGTGCATGCAGGAGGTGAAGGAGCGGCTGCTGTGCCACGTTCTGGTGCGGAAAGAGGAGGAAAAGGGACAGATCACTCAAGTGGATGTCACCTGCAAGTTCATTTGCCCTGTTGTGCAAATGTCTTCCAGAGCAATCGCTTTCCGTGTGGAAAAGGTAAGTCTCTGGATTGCATCCTGGCATTTAAAGGTGTAACTCTTCAGTTGGGGGGAAGTAAATAGAAATAGATGCACTTCTGGGGTTGAAAAATGTGCAATGCATGGGAAGGGGAAGGAGGTCTATGGCCACTTGAGGTTGTTTTCCCTTAACTCCCGTTTCTGTAGAAACCCAGTGATGTCCTGACTCTGCAGTACCAGCCTTTGTCTTTAAAAAACACCTGCTCCCTGCCATTCAGCATTGTGCTGGACTTGGAGCAGCCGTTCCTGATCTGCAATGCAGACCAGCAGCCCCTCCCTTGCTGAAGGAATCAAAATCTTACCTGAACTGGTAACATCCATGCTAGCTCTAAAACATGAGGAGAGGGGAGCAGGCAAGCAGATGGAGGCAAGCCATGCAGTAAAGGGGTCTCCTGGAAAGCATGCCAGCTCTCCAGCAGCCATCCCCTTGTATTGCTGCTGAGCACAGAAACGTGAGCCCGAGGGAATCTCAGAGCAGAGCGTGGTGGCTGCTGACAGATCCTCACTGTAAAGAAATGAGGGTGAACTGAGAAACCCAGGCTGGGGTCACACTTGGAACGTTTACTGTTTCCTGCTGTCAGAGCTTGGGACGTCATCCCACAGGTGATTAATTACTGCTCATGTCCTTGCAGCCCATGAGACTGGATGTAGGGGAGGAGCTTCATCTCTGCATCCAGTTTAACCCAGCTCAGGAGAACAATTGGAATAGCTGGGTGGCAGAGAGGGTTCTCAGGATTCGCTTCTTGGAGCATCCTGGTGAGGAGCAGATCACTGTTCGGGGAGAAGTCCACTTCCCGAACCTCCATCTCCAGGCCGAGGCCGTGGACTTTGGCTGCATCATTAATGACACGGAGCAAGTGCTCTTTATGGACATGACCAACTGCAGCCCAATTCCCGTCCAGTACCACTGGTCATTCCTGACAACCGCCAGGTGAACACCATAAGGTACGTGCATCATCCCTGTGCTGCTCCGGGCATGGACCTGCTCCAGCCTGGTTTGGAGTGGCTGTTCCTGAGCTCACCACACAGCACCCAGCCAGGGGCCACACCGCGGTGAGGAGCTGCTCTTGCAGGCACCTCTCTCTCCCTCTACAGCTCCACAACCATAGGTATGTTATTTTCCAGGTTCATCCCTTCACCACCCACATTCAAACCCAAGAAGAAGGCAGCGTTGCCGAGGACATACTCCAAGCCCGAAAGTGTGGAGGAGCCAACCAAAACCCCGGAAAGGATGCAGGATTCTGCCCAGCAGCCAGCAGATGCAGAGGTTTCCCTGGAAGCAGAGGTGGATTTTCTGTGCACCTACCACTTGCATTGCCTCCTCAACTTGCCACCAAAAAGTCATAGTCTTGCCAACCTCCCTTTTGCTGCCCTTCTGTCCTGTGCCCTGAGAGTGGCAGCTGGACATGGAATGTCTGGGGAGGGAGAAATAGGAAAGTTTTGCTCAGAGAAGCTGGTTCAGGTCCTCCAGACCTATGCTGAGTTTGGGATTTTTGGCTTATTTCCTTTACAATGTAAAATGAGGTATTTATCTGCATCATGATGAGAAGGCTTCCAGCTTCCTATGTGTGTCAGTCCATGAAGAGTCCTGATCTCCATGTACCCCCATCCCAACCCTGCTAGAGCGCTCACATCTCTGCCTTCACCCGAAAGCTGGTATTGCAGTGACAGCTCCAGAGCTGTCTTTTCTAAAGCAAGGCTTTGCAAAGTCACTGTCTCTTCCTCCAAACAAGGAAAAAGGCCTTTGATCTGCCAACTTGCCTGGTGAACATTACTTTGGAGTGGGAAGTGGCCCACTTGTTCTGCATTGGGGGAACAGAGGCAATAAAAAAAAGATTTAAGGAAGCAGAAGAGTTTCTCAAAGGCCCAGTGTTGGCATTAAGGAAAAGGGTTGTACCTGCTCGCACACAAACAGCAGTTGTTTCAACACTGCACAGTTTTTCTGAATCAGAAGAAACAAAGCCCTATAGATTCAACAGACAGGGTGGCTGAATGTTTTCAGATAGCACAAAAGCATCTTTATTTCCTGGTTGTTGCCATGTATGCACAAGGAAACCAGGGAAATTCAAGAGGCCATTCTGGAGTCTGAAATGGTTTGGCTTGGAAGGGACTTTCAGAGATTGTGTAGTTCCAGCCCTCCCTGCCTGAGTGCTGGGGGCTCCCAGTTCCCTCCTGCAAGTTTGATGTAGGAAGTGCAGAGGGAGGCCAGGTCTCATCTGGGGGTGGGCTTGGACCCACACTCGTCTGATGGCCTGGACATTTTCACACTTGATTTGTGCCCAGGTCCCTTCTCAGCTGCTCCTGGTGTGCTGAGGTGGTGGAGCCTGCAGCAGAGTGATCTTGCTCAGACCAGCCAGCTGCTCACTGCAGCCCGTGGTGCTTGTTTTCCAGGGGCTGTCATCCCCTGCTGGGGAGTCTCAGAGGCCAGGGAGGATGAGGGGGTTGAGTCAGTTCTCCAAGATGGAGCACCCCAAGGTGGGAATGCAGGAGGTAAGTGGGAATTTGTCTCACGTCCATGTTTCCAATGTGGGAAGCGGTTCTGTAGCCCCACTGCCACTGGAGGGGCCTCACATCTCTCCAAGCCCAGCACAAAGCTCTGCTGAAGCAAGTGGTCACTGGAGAAGCCACGTGGGACGTTTTGTAGGGCTGTCCCAGGATGCTCCCTATGCAGCACCTGTGGAGGGCATTGCTCCCATTTACCTCATCAGGTGGTTGACAGGACATTTTTGGAGGAACGTTGGCTGTAGCAGCTTGAGAGAAGGGCACATAAATCAGAGAGAGGGGGAAAGCCTCAGAAGTTAGATGAGCCTTCTCCCAGCTCCAAGGGCTCCCACCTCCAAGTCTGGTGTTTTTCTGAAGGCAGTGAGGAGTGTTCCCAGAGACAAGTTCTGCAGCAGAGAGAGCTCCTTGCTGCCGGGAGACATTCCAGTTGACTTCAATGTAGTGTGTCCTCATGGATAAGTGACTTTGGGAGAAGATTTTCCCCATGATCCCTCCACTGGTCAGTGGCATAGACACAGGATGAGATTAGGATGATTCTGGCTGTGTCTGGGGAATAGGCCCCTCCAGCTATGACTCCACTTTATTCCAAGACACAGCTGCTCTTCTGCATCCATTTCCACTCTCAGCATCTTGATCTCTCCTCCCCTCCCTCCAGGTTTTTGATGTGCGGCCGGTGTGGGGTGAGCTGGAGCCAGGAGAGAGTGAGCTGGTCACCTTCACCTTCTTTGGCCACGCCAACATCATTGCCCGTGTCAGGGCGCTGTGCCACGTGGAGGGAGGCCCCACCTACGAGGTGGTGGTCTCTGGGCAGGCTTCATGCCCCAGCTTCCAACTGGACGTGGAGGAGATTGACTGGGGGCTGCAGGTACCACAGGCTTCCCCTGGCACAGCTCCTTGTCTTGGCATCACGGCCACCTCGATGCCAGGCTCTCTCCCCTTCTCAGCTCCTTGCTGGCTCTGGGGCTTAGAATACAACCCTGGAGAGATATGTCCAGCATCCAAGCTGGTTTGTAATGGCCATGTTCACCCCTCCCCTCCCTTTCCCCCGGCCGAGGGACAGGACACTGCCCTCTTCAAGGCACCTAACTCTGCCTCCTGGGGAACACAAGGGTCCCAGTGAAGATGTCTGGAGGGACATGTCCCTGAGATATCCCTCCCCTGACCTACTCCTAAGGCTTGGACTCCATAGGGATGCTTGTTGCAGCATTTTTGAGAGAAAGAGGACATGAGTTATGAGATTTGAACTCCTCCAGTCTAGGCCTCAGATTTGGGCCTTGTGAGGCCTTCAAGCCTCTGACGCAGTTAGAAATTCAGAGCTTGTGGCACAGATAGAAATAGTCTTAAGGTGTGATGGGTTCCTGGGCTGTCTGGGTATGAATTAGTATAGGTTTCATAGTGTAAGGTGCAGGCCGTTTTAAGGAAAAGGTAAACAATGCTAGCCTACCAATCAAAGTGTCTTTGTTTTTGTAAACTATGTAGAAGCTTATATAAACTACCATCTTATCTTGAATAAAGGGAGAACCTTTGATTAACCACATTGGTTCAGATCTGCGTTTGTCTTGTCCAGCTTTCCATTTTCCTGAGATTCCCTGGCTTTTGATGCTCTTGTCTAATGCTCTTGCTTGATGCACCAAATCATCCAGGGAGGAAGCTGGGCTTTCAGTCACTTCAGTAGCTGAAGACAATGTCCCAGAATAATCCCCACTTGACTTCTTTTCAGTTCAAAGTCCACAGGTATTTCCAGTTGCTGGCACTGCCTGTGTTGTCCTGTGTGTATCACCTCTAATGCTGAGTTATTTATTCTTCCTTGCCAGGAATGACTCCCATGCCATCACTCTGGTCACACAGTGTGCCAAGCCACATCCGTACCTAGGTCACTCTCCGTCCATTGGCAAACACAAAAAAACTGTATTTTTTTCCTACCGCAGCACAGTGGGGGCATTTCTTCTCTAGGAAAGCTTAATCTGCACTGTCTCTTTAGAGAGGGACCCCCAAACTTTAAAAAATGAATGCTAAATCCTTGTAGTCCACTCTGCTTGGAAGCCTCCATCCTTGTGGACTTGGTGCTGCTCTTTTGGCTTTTCAGAACAAAAGGGGGATTGGAACATTTTAACATAAACAATGCACAGTTCAGGGGAGCAGTAGCATGTGAGTAAAGACTAAGCAAAATTTGTGTCATCCAGTTTTTTTCCCCTTCCTCATCAACAGAAACCTGGAAATAGATCATTCTCAATATTTCTTTTCCCCCATTGGAGTGGCAAGAGTTACATCTGAACTCAGCCCAAAGCATCCTCCTCAAAAAATGCAATGGAAAAGAGATTTCTGTGAAAATGCCTATATTTTTGCATCATTTAGTGGCAAAGACTACATAACAAAAGAGAAAAAACTTATCTCCATTCAGGAGAGAGTACATTCAGCTGAAACTAGAAACCCCACTACTTTTATTCATGGTTCCTTATTTTTTACAAAAGAGAGCAAATGCTTGAGCAGTAATTAGCACTGAGGAGCCTTCAAAATCAGTTGTTACAGGATGGCAATCTTCAAAGTCAGCAGTCATAATCTCCTAAGATTTTCCACTTGGCCAGCAAAAAACTGTGTCAAATATATAAATCAGACAGAAAAAATAAGAACATTGGAACCCAAAAGTACAGCTACCAGCTTTTCCAGAATCACTGAATTAAGACTATTCTGTTCAACTGAAGCTGGGTGCATATGCTGAACAGCCCAGCACATAGCAGTAAGCATAGTCAAATAAAATAGAAATAGAAGTACATCTGCTGTTTTCATTTAGAAAATAATACCACAGTCCCCACTTCCAAGTATGTCTCTTGTTAATTAATACATCGTTTAAAGCAGTACGTCCCTTGGAACATGATGGGAATGGACACAGAATGAGGAATAGAAGTCAAAGTCGAGCAGATGAAATGTGCCAGGTAGCACTGCTCGGATAAGGCTGAGTGGCCACCACGAGAGTGGCACTGCAGGGGAATGGCTCCTGCCACCCTGGGAGGAGAGAGATGAGGAATGGACAGGAATGGATAGGAACTGACAGTCGTTTGCGTGCCCAAAGTGTCTTTATTCCCCCAGGCAGGGTAGCAGCAAAGGTCTGCTCTGGGTGGGAGCAGGGATGAGCGTCAGCAAAATCAGGGTTTACAGCAACTTAAACATGAAGTGAGCAGATGGGTGTAAACCTGCCTTGTCCAAGGGGATAAACTGTAAGGGGAGTACATAGATCATAATAACCAATGACAGCATGACAGGGGTGTGTACAAAATCAGGGAACAAATAGAGAAGCTAAACTGGGGTGATTGACATAGACACTTCTGGAAGAAACTGGGAGTGGTTGCAGGATTGACAGCTGGAGGGGTCTTGACAGACTGAGTGGCAGAACCAAACAAGGAAGGAGCAGGGAGGAGTGAGGAAACTGACAGTTAACTGGGGAGCCAAGTGGTAGGAACTTCTGGGGTAAACAACTTGGATTGAACAAATCGTGAGGGAAAGAAATAGGGGGGTACAAGGAACATAACACTCTAACCTAACATTAATAAAACAACTATCTCAATCCAACCCTTATGGACATAAAAACACACCACAACACTTTCCCAGGCATTTTCCTGGGGAAGGTAGTGAGAAGATCAGAGAAAGAATGAGAAACAATTTTTATCTCCACTTGTTGCACTGGTTCTTGTGAACATGTGGAATGTGTAATGGAGATTTGTTTACCAAAGGGTGATTTCTTAATTGGACACTGGATGGTATTTGGACTGATTGACCAGTTAGGTCAAAGCTGTATCAGACTGGCTGTAAGAGTTACTGAATTTCTTAATAAGGTTAGTATAATATCAGATAAAATGATATAATAAAGCAATTCATCAGCCTTCTGCAATCATGGAGTCGATGCTAATTATTACCCAGCTGGGGCCCTGTGGCAATACATTGGCAAGACTTTTAAAAATTGAATCTGAAAGTTGGAAGTAAAACCAAGAAGCCCCAACATGCTCAACTCTTTATGAGATGGAAAGCAAAGACCGATCTTGAATATTAAACTATCTTTAGGTGAGCAACAGCTCCTTTTAGTAGATACTATCACTGTTTTGAACTGGTGTAAAAGCCAGTTCAGCTTGTGGTAAACATTATTGGAAAAAATCTGCACCATTTCAGAGAGGAATAAAGCCTAAGGAAATGAGTGCACCTGCCCTCGAGGGGAGTGAGGACAAGGATGATGGACGTAGAGAGGAAGAAGGATTCCAACCTCCAAGGCTAAGAATCCATTGAAATCTCATACAGCTTTGAGGAGCCAATTCACACAATTGTTATACCAGGACAATAAATCAGAGAAAGGCTGAATGAATGGATGGACAGTTAAAAAAGAACCACACTGAGAACAAACGAGTAACCCCATCTAGTGTTGAAAGATGTCAGGGATTTGTATTTTAAATCTTTAAAAATGCCATCTTACCCTGACCATGGGGATATAAGCACCCTTATCTCCATCTCCCAATTTTTTGTCCAAACACACATCTCCTCTCAGTTGCAGAGCTGACCTGGTCATTCACCATAGCCTCTCCTAAAAGCTCATGACACCAACACTTGGTCATCACCCCAGGCTCTTGCCACACCTCGTTTTCCATATGCAGGAATTGTTAGCATCACATCCTACAGTTCACTGGACATTGCCATCATTATTCAAAGCAGCATTCTAGGACATTTTAGTGGTTTTGCTTTGGGCCATTTCAATTCTTTAACCTAAGGCTGCCAGTAAATCCAACAACAGACTTTGTCTTCTGATTTATACACACCCATACAGATTTTCCCCTTATATGGAAAATACAGGTGTTTAAATGAAAAAAAAAAAAAAAAAAAGTCAAGTGAGCTTAAACCCAACAGTTTTATATGCCTTTCTGAGGCTGCAGCACTTAAAAACTCTCAGCATAGTGTGTAAAGCAGTCAGCAGCTCTTGCTGTTTAATTGTCCTTTTCCCCAGGCACCGGCATCTCCGTGCCCCTGCTGGGCAGACAGAGGCAAGAAGTTTATGTCCCTCCTGAAGTAGCATCTACTTCAAAATGAGATCTGCTTAGAACTTAGGAAAGTCGCCTTAAAACCTGTCTACAATCCTATTAAGGAAAATAATGAAAAAGTAGCAAGAGGCAAGCCAGCTGAAAAATGAGAGTAAGGATTAAAAACTTGCAAAACGTTAAGATATGAGCACTGAAGGAAAAACCCTCTGAAGCAGGCAGTAGGTAACATATCTGTGGTTAAGATGGACTACACAGTAAACCTGTCATAAAAGCTTTCTGCAGACACATGAACAACTATATTTAAAAAAAAAATCCAGTAAGAAACACTGAACACGAGCCCAATCCAGTATAACTAAATACTTGTTAATGTAAGCTCTGTAGGCAACTGAGTGTGGTGCTCAGTTAAATCTCCGGCACTTAGCATCAGTGAGAGAAGGACACAATGCAATCTTGGAAGGCAGGCAAATACAGATAGAAAGGGACAATAAACGAGCCAGTAACTAGACAGAGAGAAAATCTCATCCAGTGTTTTATCTTCCATCTGCTTCCTTATAACTGTACCTTTACAGAACCAGATCTCCCTTCCTGACACTGGAAATAGCACAAGGAGTGTTTATGACAGGGGGAATGTGTTTAAATACACAAAAAACCGAAACAACAAAATGAGAATCTGAAGGTACGAATTTGAGAGCAGACACTCTTGGGAAATACTTCTTTAAAATAAAATATTCTTCTGTTTCCTTTGTTTTCCCATGTTCTTTAATCTGTCCCTTAAAAAGGAGACCTGAAGAACATTGAGAAGTAAGCAGAGAAGAGATGAAAGAAGGAAAGATGCAGCTTTGAAAAAGTAGAATGTCTTTTTGTCCCACTCTCCTGCATCCCCTGCAGCAATAGTTGGGAGCAGTAGGGAATGTGCTGAGGAGGGAGTTTGGCTGCAAGTCTCAGTTCCAAATGGAACATTTTTCCATGGCACAGAGTACAGGCTTTATGATCCTTCCCATCAGGTCTGGTGATATTGGACACTTACACTTTTACATATACTATGTTATCTTGAAACCATCTTTCATTTAAATTTAAATTGCTCCTGAGGGGCAGAAGGGAGGAGAAAACATCCCAAGTAGTTAAAATCTTGGTAGTGAATGAGTTTTCTGGCTCAATAGACTGCAAGAGTCTATTACAGGTTCTGTTACAGGTTTTCTATGTACCACATCACCGCAGATGCTGCAAAGATACAGAGGGTAAATATTTGCTTCT